GCAGTGTCGGGCCAGCAAAGGGCCCTGTCCTGGCTGTGGCCTCCCTCCACCCGGGGTTTAGGCCAGCCCCCCATCTGGAATCCAGGATGTGGCAGGCTGTGTTGGCCACACCAGCCACCAGGGTTGGGCCACACATGCTGGTGCCACCCAGGATCCCGTGGCACCTCCCTCAGCCGCAGTTAGACCACAGTGATCTAGAAGTGGGGCCCAAGTTTCAGCCCACATGGTCCTCTCCACCAGCCCCTGTCTCCGTGGCCTCAGGGCTGACAGCATCTAGCACCTCTGTCTGTCTTCCTCTGTGGGCCGGTGGCCCTGACCCAGCGCGGGGGTGTTTGCGGTTGTAGGGAGAGCTCACGTCCACCCTATGTTCCAGCCTTGACCAACCAGTTCGCAACCCCCAAAGAGTTCATTCCATCCCCGTCCTGTTTGCTCTTCTCACGTCTCCATCTTTGAAACCGAGGTCTATGCTGTTCCCCAGACCCTCATCTCCCTGGAAAACTCCTACACATATGTCAAAACCCAGCTGGGACAGTGCCTCTTCTAAGAACTCCTACCTCGCCATCTTCTCTCTCCTCTGAGTCTCTGGTAACACACTGCAAGCTACCCGTGTCCCAAATTGGACAGACGCCCTCAAGTCTTCCCCTGCTACCCTGTCACTGACTGAGCTCTCCTCGTGACGGTGTTGGGCTGAACGGACTCTGTGAAGAGCAGATCTAACAGAAAACCAGCATGTGGTCTCTAAAGTGAAGGGCATGTGATCTGTTAAGTGAAGGGCGGTTGTTGGCAAAGGTCCACGTGTCATAGGACATTGGGAAGTTGGCTAACTCCACATTCCCAGGCCCCGCTTAGGGAATATGAATGTGAATCTGTAGGTCTAGGATTCAGCTTGAGAATCTGAGAATCAGCCTTAGTGTTTCTGATGGGGTGGTCTGCAGCCCTTAGGATGGTGGCGGTGGAGGGGGGGGGTGATACCCAAGGTTAGAGCTTGACCCTCATCGAGAACCTAGTTCCTCCATCCTAGTGCCTCCAGTCGGGGCACACATGGTAGAAGGAGACCCGGCCTGGAGAGCTGCCACCCACAGGGAGGGCAGGGGCAGACTACTCCCCAAGGCACTGGGCTTGGCTCAGAACAAGCCCTCCTGGGGCTGGGGGACACGGACCCTGTGATAACTGGACTGGAGCAGTCAGAGTGGCTTCCTGGAGGTGGTAGCTCCTGAGGGGGCGGGGGGAGGATGGGCTGAATGGAGGGAGCCTGTGTGGGAGGGGAGACCCAGCCAGGGACATGTGGGAGCCCAGGGTGGCCGCATGTAAGTCAGTGTGGGGACCCAGCATTTTCTGAGAAGGAATGAGCCCAACAAGGTAATTTGCTGGTTTTCTGACATTGGGAGATGTTAGTTTGCAAGCGTGTTGGACAGATATAGAGAGAGAAGCCACTGAGACCGGTGCGGGGAGGGCTCCCTGGCCATCCTGTCCTTGAGAAGGCGAAGGAGGCCCATCACGTGCATGGGTCCTCCAGGGAGCCCGGGGGTTTGGTGGCTGTGTGACAGACCAGCGGCCGGGTCCTGTTTCCTCATCAGCCTTTCTCCCCAGCAGCCTCCCGGAGTCCCTGTGAGGATGCACGGGCCAGGCTTCCCGAAGATGGAGCAAGTGCTCCGAGTCCTTGCTGGCTGCTCTCGTCCCTCCTACACTGGGGAGCAGGGGATGGGACCTCGTGGAGTCCAGAGGATGGGGACACCTGGTTGGAGTTGGGTGGGCTGGTGGGGGGAGGGCCTGAGTTTGATTCGAGGCTGATGGATGTGAACCTGGAGACAGCAGAAGTGACTGCAGCAGGGGGTCAGCAGGGGGATTTGGGGCCGCGTGAAGGGTTTCTGCCCGGGTGGGAGGCAGCCCTGCCCCCAGGACGGCTCCCAGTCGGGCTCAGCTGTGGCAGAGGCTCGACAAGCACCAATTCTCCCCTCCCGCAGCCTGGGACACAAGAGCGTGTGCCCATCTGGCAGATGCTTAGAGACCGGGCCTGGACACCTGCCCCTTTGGGGGCTTCCTAGTGCAGCTAGGTCCGGGGTGCCTGGAGGCCAGGGCGAGGTGGAAGGGCCTTGGCAGGTGGAAGGGCCTTGGCAGGTGGCAGCTGCACTCCGGTCTCTCCATCTTGGGGTGAAAATCCCAAGAATCTAGATGAAACTGTCATTTCTTCTGCCTGGCCTCCAGGTCTTCTGGTTCCCAGGAAAACCAGGGTGCACTTAGGGGTCTTCTGGGCAGCTGCCCTCGCTCTCCACTTTCCCCTCCTCCCAGGCCGGGCCTCACGGAGCCCCCTGGAGACAAGGCACAGTCGGGAACTCGAACTTGCTGTGCTCTCCGGAGCCGTCTGGGAGAGTAGGGACGGAGGTGATGCCGGAAAGAGAAGGGAGAGGCATGGTCCCAGTCCCCCAAGGGCGAGGATCATGCTAGGGGGGCCCAGGCAGGGGCCGGGAAGCCGTAGCTGGAGGCTCTCAGAAGTTCCTTCTTTGGCGACCCCAGGGGCACCTCCAAGGACGCTGGATTCATCGGCACCCTAAGTGCACAGGTCCGGAAGCCCAGCCCATTCTTCCTCCAAGTGGTAGGAGATCAAGGTCGTGGTTGAAATGGAGCTTGTGCAGCTGGACTGATTATGTACGAATGATGTAATCCCCAGCACGCGTGTCTGCACAGAATCCCATCTCTAAATGGGCTGAGCTGTCAGGTCCCTAAGGCTTGTCCACAAAGCCCGCAGAGGCCCCAGGAGTCTTCCTCACAGTGACGGAAGCCTGTCCTTGACCCTCTTGGTTTTCACCCCCCGGCCCCTTTCACTCCTCTACCCCTTGGCTAGAGAGCATTCTCCTTTAAAGACACGTAGCCAAGTGGGTAAGATCCTGGCCCTGCCTCCCACTCGCTGTGTGACCTTGGGCAAGTTACTTAACCTCTCTGTGCCTTGCTCCTCTGTAAAATGGAGATACGGGAGTGCCTGTCTCATCAGGTGAATGGAGTGAAACCACACGGCGGGGCTTCATCTAGCACCGGGGGCATACTGGGCGCTGCGTGAGTCAGCTCATACAGCTTTACCGTTGCTGTTATCTTACACACCAGCAGGCTCGGGGCCCAGCATCAGGAGGCCACAGATGACCCTGCCCAGTGCACTTTTGTGAACCACCCCCTTGAAGGAGGGATCTGTCCCCCGCAAACCCTCTATGTCGAAACGCACCCCACTTGCTCGGCCCCCCAACTCCAGAGGCCTGGGGGGCAAATTCCAGTCTCACTTTGCAATTCCTAGAAGACAGTGTCCCACGGCGGCCGAGTGTCTCCCTAATAGCACTCACCACCTGGGGCCTCAAGGGTCCCTCCAAAGCCATGGACAGGATGGAATGAGACAAGTTGTAACATGGGCTGGGATGACCCATGCCGAGGCAGTTGGGGCCCTTCTCCGGGGGGGGGGGGGGGTGGGGGGAAACAGGGGGCGGGGGCTGGCCCGCCACCCACAAAAAAAAAAAAAAAAAAAAAAAAGGCAGGTTCCCAGGACCCCTCAGAACCACCCTTGGACCCAAGTCCCGTGGTGGGGCCTGGGTCTCTGCATTTATTGAGCAGCTCTTGGGTAAAGCCGTGCCCACGGAAGTTGAGGGGGCGGGGTACAGGTTTCTGAGCTCTCTGAGCGCCTCCCTGTTCTGTGAGCAGAGGAGAGGCTGAGAGGAGGCAGCATTCCCCGAAGCTAAGCCTGGGAGGGAAGAAAAGGGGGTGGCCACAGAGTACAGGGGCCTATGAAAACCGGCCCCCGCCCCATGGGATCTGAGGGCTCAGAGACAGAAGAGGGAGCCTCTTTGGGTTTGCACATTTTATTAGGATAATTGGTCAAGTTCTTAAGTTATTTCTTTGTTAATCAGACTGTGGCGCGAGCACGCTCCGTCTGTGTAGATACATAAAAATACATCAAGCACTTGGCCTCTCTTGGATGTGAGCTCAGACTTGCTTCTCTCACCCAATGTGGGGCTCCAGCCCCAGGGAGCCCTTCTGCCCCACACCCATCACGGGGGGTGATCAAGGGAGTGGCGGGGCAGCCCCCTACCCTCCAGGTCCGCTCAGGCCACACTGGGGGCTCTCGGGGCACAGTCCGGGGCGGCACCAGACCATGGCCCCCAGCCCCGGGTGCATCCTGGCGTCCCCCACAAGGTGATCCCTGCGGCCTGCGTGGTGTCACCGCGGGCAGAAACCCCCATGGGATCTCTTTAAGCCGACGGCTGAGCCTGGACCCCCATGCAGGGGACGGCGGATGTTCCGAGAGCTTCGATGGCCTCCCTTGGCACCTGGCACGAAGGCTCCGGGCTGAGAGTCCTGCTCCTGCTGGGGTTGCCCTGGGGGGGAGGCTCCGGCTGCAGAGCTCAAAGGCCTCTGTTTGGGCGGGCTGTGCCCCAAACCTTCGTCCCTGAAGCCATAGTGCCCGGGAGCCGCTCGGGCAAGGCCTTGACCGGCAGGAGCCCCGGCTTCCTCGGCCTCTGCCTAACCTCCCGGCTCAACAGCCACCAGAGGTCGCTCGGCCTGGGCCTCTAGCCTCGCTGCGCACAGGTAAAGGGCCCACTTTGGAGACATTTCTTCCCAGGAGCGTGGGAGTCTGGATGGCACCCCTCTTCCCGCGCACATGGCCCGGGAGTCAGGCTGCCAGCCCCGGACAGACCAGGTGGCCGGTGTCAAGGAGCCGCAGCGGCCCTACCGGCCAAGGCTGTTCTGGGCGCCAAGGCCGCACCACCCATGCCCACCTTCCTCTCTCCAGCCCGGCCTCTGGGGGGGGTGGGCACCCCCCACTGCATCTTCAAGGGGGCCATGTCTGCGCGGCCTCCCCTGTTTATGTGCTAATAAAAGAGACGTGTTAATGGAGTCCATGGCGCTGGAACGGGCCCCCCCCAGGCTCCCTCGCGCCCAGGCTCCAGGCTGAGCCCCGGAGTCCGTCCTTGGGCACCCACCAAGGTCGCTGGTGGTGGCGGGGGGGCCGGCTCGCCCCGTCAGAGCGCCGCCGCGGGCCCCAGGAGCCGGGGGTGCTCGCACAGCTGGAGCTGCACGCTGGCCGTGAACCAGCGGCTGGGCCGGCCCAGGCTGCAGTGCAGGGTGGTCCGGAAAGTGCTCCTGGCGTGCTTGGGGAAGATGATGGTGGTGCTGCGGAAGCGCAGGGCGCGGGGCCGCGGCTCCAGGGTCAGCTGGCTGCGGTAGCTGCGCCACGTGCAGTTGGGCGCCGCCATGATCGTCTCGCTGTAGGCCGTGACCGTGGGCACCGGCGCGTAGAAGACATTGTCCCGGAAGTGCTTCTCCGAGGCGTACTTGACCTCCGAGTTGCAGCTGGGGAGGGGGGGGCAGGGTGAGCCCAGGACGGGGTAGGGGGGCCGCCGGCTGCTCACCCGTGCCGTCTTGGGGGGGGGGGGGGGGGGTCCATGAACGTGGGGAGGGCACCCCTGAACAGGACGGCCCGGGCTCTTCCCCAGTGTCAGGGTCAAAGGGCACGGGAGTGTGCCCGCCTGCAGGGCAGGAAAGCAGTGGTTCTCAGTGTGACCCGCGACTCGGGGTGGATCCTGAGTTGGGCTGAAAATCCGCCGTGAAAGGCCATGTGGGGACAGCGGACAAAATCCGGGCCGTGGGGGTGGGGCAGTGGCGTCCCTGCTCTCGGGAAGGGTGCCAGAGTACTACGGGTTAAACGTCAGGATACCACACCTGCCTCTCTCCAGTGGTTCAGAAAAAAAGATTCATCTGCACGGGAGAGAGCCTGCCGGTGTTCAAGCAGACGGGACAAAACGTAAAGAACGAGTGAATCTGTTTAATGGGTACGTGGGGTTTCCTCGAGCTCTCCCTGACGCTTTCCTGTAAGTCTGAAATTGTATCAAAAGAAGTTTCCCCAAAAGTAGCTCAGCGCCCCGCTGCTCTGCTTCCAGACCTCAGAAAAGCAAAGTGTAAGCAAAGGCTTGGCGGGCGGGCAGGGGGGAGTTGTACCCGCCTCGCCTCCCCATCGCAGCCCCACAGACGGTCGGTTTAGGAAGGGAATCAGGGGGCCCAAGAGTCAGCTCTTGTGTACTGCGTGGGGCCGGCTGGTCAGCTCAGCCCACGTTTAAATAACGGGGGCTCTTTGGGAAGAGCGAATTGTGCAGCGAGCCATCTCCTGGGACCACGTCCAGAGCTGGAGGAGCAGGTGTGGGTCTCCCTGGCTGACCCAGGTTGTCGTGGACAGATCCTTCCCAAGGGTGCTGTGGCCCCTGGACTCCACCTTCTGGAATCCTGACCCCCAGAAGCCCTCCCAGGAGGGCAAACCTATGCAGGACATCTCCTGGTGGGGTCACCTTAGCCCAGAAGTTCAGAGGCACCTAAAATGTCCCACACCCAGGAGGGCCCCTAATACATGTGAGGTCAAGGATGCCTCAGTAGGTACATGAGACACGACAGTCCCAGGAGCACAGAGCACGTCTGTGTTCATGTGACACCCAGCAAGCCCTGAGCAGAAAAGGGGCCCCCAGTCGCGTGTGTGGGGTTGGGTCACGGACGCCAGAACATCCTGGCAGGACTGGAGGAGCAAGGGAGCTCCACGAGCTGCGTGAGTGCTGGTCATCGTGCAAACTTTCTGGAAGGTCGAATTAAAATAAAATCGGCCGGATTTGGGGAGCAGGGCAGTGGGGAAATGGTCCAGTGCAGACGTGGAGCACGGGAGGGAGACCGAGAAGGTCCCCTCGGGTCAGCATCTCTTACAGTCAGTTCATCGCTGGCCAAGATATGCTCTTGCCTCCTCAAGGAGCAGCAACCAGAGGGGTGCCCGGAGCAGGAGCGGGGAGCCTGCTGGGCCCAGAGCTTGACCACACTTCCCCACAGGGGGTCGGGACCAGCGCCTGGCGCACCCCCACCCCGGCCAGCAGCCCCACTCACCGGATCTCGTGCGTGGGCTCTGGGTGCACCTCGATGCTCTCCCCAAAGAACACAGGCAGCATCCGGGGCCTCATCTCAAGCGCTGGGGAATTCGGGGGGAGGGCAGGGGGCTGTGGGGAGAGCCACGGACACGGGGTTACACAGCCCTTTGGCCCTGTGGCCCCAGCTCCCCATGGGTCACACGAAGGCCTCCCCACATCCTCCGAGCCCTGGCTTGGTCTGGAAGCCTGCTCTGTGGGGTCCCTCAAGAAGCCCACCCGGGCACAGCCGCCTGGGTCCTCGAGCGCCCCCCCGCCAGCTGCCCCCTAGTTCCTAGACACCTCCATGTGGGGCTGTGGTACCGGCCTCTTCCGGCAACCCCCGGCCCACACCACGCCCTGGGACCCTCTCGGGGAGGCCCCCCAAGCTGCCCCCGTGCGAGCGGCTGAAACCGCGTCATCTTTGCTCTTGACCTTGCCTGGTGCTGCCCAAGGCTAAGGGTGGACAGACCCCCCCAACGTGGGTGTGCGCCCCATCCATCGGGAGGAGGATCATCCTCAGGAAGGGGGGACATCTGCCCCAGGAGAGGACCAGAGGCCGCTCCCCCAGCCCTGCCTACTGTTTTTCCTCCATTGTGGCCAGTGTGGCCTGTTACTACCACCAGCCCACCAGCCGCGAGCGCCTGCTCTCTGCTCTCCACTCGCGTGGGGGGAGCCACACTTCCCAGCAGTCCTGCAGGGGAGCAGCATGGGAAAGGGGCACGTTGCGGCACCTGTGACACGAGTCACCTCTGGGCCCAGGGTGAAGTCCCCGATCGCTAACCGTTCCTTCTGGGGTGACATTCAACACAGCGGCCTCCTCGCCAGCCTGGGACCCTCAGTTCTCCTGGAAGGCCGACGGCCCCGGTCTCAACGTCACGGTCAACCCATGACGAACGTGGAGTGAGGAGAGCCAGAAGGAAACCTCTGCTTTCGGTACAACCCCATTGCCCGCTGGGGATGTCTGTGACAGTGTCACCTGGTACGCCCGTGCCGGCACAGCAGGGGTCCCACACGGGGACGCTCGCCAGCCGGTCTCTGCTCTAACTCCGCGTGCCCACGGCGAGCGCTCGGTGAGCTCGGGGGACAAGGCGGTGGGTGTTTCCTCCAGTTCGTTTGCTGAGCTCCTGGGAGCTCTACTGTGGTCGCCCCGGTGAAGAGAGAAGATGGTCTCCTCGCTCCTTGGGTCTTGCTGCCTGAGTCCTCCACTCGTCTTCAAATGACCCCCCAGGCGGACTAGAATTCCAGCTGTGGTGGGGGCTGTGATCACTGGGCTAGGAGGGGTGGGGCGTGGGGGAGGGTTGGCCATCGGGAAATCCAGGAGGGCTTCCCTGTGGAAGTGGCCCTTGAGATGCGATCCAAAGGGTGAAGTGGTGTTAATTCGGGCCTCACAGGTCACGGGGACTTCTCTTTCACGTGTCCTGGAACCCCACCCGATCAGGCCCCCCTGAGGGGTCACCTCAGTCCCAGACAGCACCCTGGCCCCCAGCCCTGCTCCCCCTGCTCCACCTGCTGGAACCTACCAGGTGGGAGATAGACGAAGCCAAACTCCCCAGAGGCCGCCCAGTTGTACCCACTCCACCGGTCCTGCGGTGTCCCCGGACCACCTGCATTCCTAACACCCTTCGTCTTTGGAACGGACCCATGCTTTCTCCTTCAACACCATCCTGTCCCTTTTGTCTGGGGTCCCCTGTAAATCACGCTCATACATCTTACCACCTAGAGGAAGTTTTCCACGCCTTGCCTGCAACCCCCACGCTCTAGGGACACTGCTGCCCTGCCTCGGCCAGAAGCCACTAGGTCCGTGGGACGATTGCAGTGTGACCTGATTCCCACTAAACAAAAATGACAAATTCCGCCCCTGGGTCACCCCCTGCTGCACGTCACAGGCTCAGCCTCTAGGCAGCGCCCCGCCCCCCAGATTGGACAAGATTAGGAATCATACGTTCAAACCAAGACCTGCCTCTTCACCTACTGGAGATGTCCTGTACCTGTTCCCTCCCCACCCCGGTCCTCCTGGTCCTCACCGGGATGAGGACACATCCCAGCAGCCCATGCTTTTTGAGCCCTAACGGCACCAGGCACTGCCCTGGGCACTGTCCATGCATTCACTCATTCAACCAGACGAGAGCTGCTATCCGCATGCCCATTTTATAGATGCTGAAAAAGAGGCCCAGAACGACCAAGTAGTTTGCTTGAGGTCTCACAGCTAGGAAGAGGCAGAACTAGGATTCGAACCCTGGGGTCTGGCTCCAGAGTCCGTGCCCCCACTCGCACTCCTCAACTGCCTCTTGCACACGTGGGACTGGACTCTGTCCGCGCCTCCCTCACCCGGTCGGCCACACTCCATTGCCCCTGCGCCCCGGCTCATGCTGCTTCCTGCACCAGGAATGTCCTTCTGGTTCCTTCTCACCTGGTCTGGTGTTGTGACCCCTTTGTGTGCCTGTCACCCCCTGACCAGGAGCTCCCTAAGGTTCAAGACCTGATGGGCTGCGTCCCCCAGGCCTGGGCACCTCACGGCGCCTGCGCTGTTGAGCGACGAGAGGTCTCACGTGCAGAGAGGCCTGGCCCCAGGCTGCCTGGGGTCAGCCTATGGACAGGATCGCCCGCAGCCCCTCCCCAGCTGACCACGGGGTCCCCAGAACAAGAGCCAAGGGTCCCAGGGAGAAAGGATACGAGGCTTGGAGGAGGAGGACGCTGGTTTTCATCACACCACCGTGCTCTCCCCAGCGCTCCCAAAAGAGTAACGCCCAAGCTGGGGAACAGGGAGGACAGCTTTGAGGGGGCAGTGGTTTCCGTGCTGTGGCCGAGCTGAGCAGCACCATCCCCCTGGGGCCGGCCCAGGATAAAGAGACTGCAGACCTTCTGGTACCTCCCCGCGTGCCCCGTGGGAGCAGCCCCGTTCCGGCCGGATCTCGCTCCCTGACTGGTTGCCAGGAGAGGAGACAAGACTCACTTCACAGGCTGGGCTGGGAAGCCCGAGCTCTGGGCACCGTTTTCCAAAGGGCCCTTGTGGAAAAACATCTAAAATCTACCCAAACTGGAAGGGCTGTGCAAGAGATAGGAGAAGCCAGAGAAAACCCAGACGCAGGCTGGCATCCAGCGGGCCTGGGTGGCGAGACAGCTCCGGAAGTCACCGCCAAGGGCCCAGGACAGCCGTGCTGGGCTCCGGGGACAGGCGCCGGGGGAAGGCGGCAACGGCGGCTACGCAGCACTTGGCCTCCCCTGGCAGCCACTGTCCCGTCCGGAAGCTCAGAGCGGAGTCTTTCTGGACTGTTCTGGGGTATTTTAACATCAAAATGGCAGTGCCAGCCCCACGGAACCTGGCCAGCCTGGAGAGTGGGCCAGGGACATGCCTCTCACGGCCAAGAAAGCACACCACTGGACTTGGAAGGACTTTCCAGCCGCCCTGGAACAGACACTCCTCCAAGACCGGGTCACATTCTCATGGGAGTCACCAGGCAGGGGGCTCACTGGGCGGGGCGGGGGCTCGCACGCCCAGGGGGCCCCCTGCCGCTGCACCTGCTCCGTCAGCCAAGGGCCCCCCTGGGGCAGACAGAGTCCCCAGAAGCCCGCCGCCCTCACCCACCCCCCAGATATCACCCCCACCGCCCCCCAGGCCCAGATTCTGGTTCCGTCCTAAAGAGAACCCACCAGGAGCCGCTCGAGCCACCTGCGAAATAAGGCCGTGACGTTTGAGGCCTACCCCGTGGGGCTGGCCGGTGACCTAGGCGGATTCGGACCCCCTTGTTGCTCTGGGAAGCAGGGGCAGGGGAGGAACCAGCAAGTCTCATGCACAGATGAGCAAAGACCGCCCCTCAGATGCTGCCCCCTGCACCCCGGATGGAGGGACATGGCTGGAAGGGCTCTGCGGTCGTCTGGGGAGCAGGCCGGCTCTCTGGTCTCCTGGGCAGGCGGGCGTGGGGTGGGGTGGGGGGCCCAGGGCGGGCGGCAGAGGGAGCGGGATCCGGAGCCCCCCCCGCCTGGGCAGTGAATGAATCACGGGCCCTCCCCAGGAGCGCCGGGCGAGGGTCAATACGGACCGGCTGGAAGTACAAACACAGGGGGGTTTTGGAGCCCCCCCCTCCTGGCGGCCAGACAGGCACGGCCCACAGGACGGCAAAGGAAGATAAGGGCTCCGCTGTGAGAGCTCCGTGCCGTGCGGTGACAGCCCAGCCCGCCCAGGGGTCCCGCCCTGGCTCCCAGGGACGCCGAGGGACAGCCCAGCCGTGTCTGTGCCCAACCCGGGGAACGCATGGTGGCCGTGAGCTCTCCCTTCCATTGGGAAGCACCCAGCCCCCTCCAAGGAGGGGGTGTGACAGGAGCAGGGGTCCAGAGTACCCTGCTGCTCCTGGGGAGAGCGAGGCCATTGGGGACCCCCTCCCCCCTCCACTGACATGGCGGAGGGGGTCCTCACCAAGGCCATGTGGGACCACTGCAATGGCTAGAATGGCCTTCTCTCCAGGTCACTGACCTCAGGGAGCCGGCGATGGCTTTTCCCGCTATCCGAATTATATTGGATTATCTCCGCTGGGCATTTGGGATCTGTTGACCGTGACTTTCACCCATGAGGAAAGTGACCCAAGGAGGACACATTCAAGAGTTCCAACTCTTCTTTAGGGCCTGGGGCCATGCGACAAATCCTAGGGCGGTGGATTCCTTAGTTTCCTTAGGCTCACTGCCCTCCCCCAACATGGCACCTCCATGGGGCCGAACGGGCCTGGCTGGGGGAGCCCAGGAGACCCTGAATGGAGCAGGCCACCCCCTGGAAAGCCACAAACCACCCCGGGCCCAGCACACACACCACAGGCCTGAGGTCTGACCCCCAGAACAGGAGAACTAAGCAAACACCAACATAGGCTTGCAGGCAGGGCTCGAAGACCAGCTGCTCCTTGTGACAGGCGGACAGACAGACCCAAGCCAGCAGGACACCGGGCGGCAGATTGGCCTGTGACCACCACAAAGGATGTGACCTATTTGGAAATAAGGTCTTTGCAAATATGAGGTCCTACTGGATAAGACTGGGCCCTAAGTCGCTGAATCCAAGGACTGGTGCCCTTGTAAACAGGGGACCTGTGGGACACACTCAGGGAGGATGACCACACAAGGACGGGGCAGAGACGGGACGACAGGGACTGCGAGCCACCACCAGAAGCTAGAGCGGACACACAGGATGGATCCCCCCCAGAGCCTGTGGAGGGAGCACGGCCCAGCGGACGCCTTGGTCTCAGACTCTTCGCTCCAGAAGCGAGAGAAGGAACGTGTGTCGCTCTAAGTCACACACTCTATGTGTGTCACCCATTGGTGACTTGGCTGCACAGCCCCGGTGAGCTCGGGAGGGCACCTGCGAGGTTGTACCAGCCCACGAAGGCCAGTCTTCCCAGGAAGGTGGCTCCTGCTCGCTCCCTCCTCCCCAGAGCCTCTGGAAGGGGGCCGGCCAGTTTGTTCCCTTCCTGCACGAAAGCCACAGCTAGAGTTCTCAGACAGGCGAGCCCACCACCAAGACGATGTGGGGCTGCCGGAGACTTTGCTGGAGGCCAACTCATCCAGGGTTAAGCAGACAAAGGCTGAATGGAGGCGCCGGTGTCTCTGGCTCCTTCCCGCCTCCCTCCTCCCAGCCTCCCTTCCTGCAAACGGGCTCCCCCCCCCCCCCCCCCCCTGCCACACCTGGCTCTCTGCCCCCTGAGCTTGCTTACACACCTCTACTAGTCAGGGACACACCAACAAGCCTGCCAGGGGGCCTTGGGGACTGACCGCTGTCTCCTTAGTCCGTCTGTCCGTTCATCCATCCACCTGTCCATCCGTCCAGCCATCCGTTTGTGCACTCATAAGTATCTATCCGTCCGTCCATCTACCCATCTGTCCATCTGTGCGCGCACTCATTCCTCTGTCCAACTGTCTTTCCTTCCTTCCCAGCTCCGGGCACTAAGTCCCAAATCCCACCTCCCTCTGGGATCCTTGGTGTCACCCTCACAGTCCAGAAACTGAACTGAGAAAATCCAGGACTCCTGGTGGGGAGGAGGAGCGGTGACAGCCCAGCGCCCAGGAGGTGGCTGTGACCATGAGTATTCTCAAAGGGCTGGGCAGCCCCGGGGCATTCCCCAGGACGGCGCACAGAGCTCTCACTCCCCTCCACAGGGTCTCCCCACGCCTGCCACACGCTCCTCCTAGAATCCAGGTCCAGGGAAGCAGCACCTCATCCTTAGGGAAATTCTCCCGCGTGCCGCTCTATTCAACAAAGAAACAGTCCTGATGGGTGCCTGGGGGCTCAGTTGGTTCAGTGACTGTCTTTGGCTCAGGTCAAGATCCCGGAGTCCTAGGATCTAGTCCCACATCGGGCTCCCTGCTCCATGGAGAGTTTGTTTCTCACTCTGACCTTCTCCCCTCTCATGCTCTCTCTCATTCTCTCTCTCTCAAATAAATAAATAAAATCTTTTAAAAAGAGAGAGAGAGAAAGAAACAGTCCTGGGAGCCCAGACAGCTGTCAGCAGCCATGTGCGGAGGAGCCCAGGCCACTGGCTATGGATAGAGCCCACGGCAAGAGGGCCCCATCTCCCTGAGTCACCCCCGGCCACCACGACAGTGAGCTGAGTCCCTCCCCTGCCCCAGCCTCCAGATCTGTCCACATGTCCTGCCCCCCCAGCGGTGGCTGTTCTCTCAAACACGCTCCCAGAGAGCACAGTCTGAGACCCCAGATGCTGTTGATGGCCTCCCTGAGGACATAAGACGGGGCAGGACTAGGTCCCGGACCTGCCCGTAGTTAGTGGTCTCTGCTGCACACACCACTCACCCTTACAGGCCTGTCCCTCTGCCCACAGCATCCCTCTGTCCCCACAGCTCAGCAGGGCAGGCCCAGAAGGCAAGAGGGAGGATATCAGGGCTGTGCTAGATCTCGAGCGGGCAGTCCCGGCCCCAGCAGTTAGCAGGCGGCTCGGACAGATGGCTTGTATCTCACTCACTCTGCATCCTGCGCCTGGCCTGGCTCAAGCATTTGCGGGATGAGTGCAGCTGACAGGTGAGCCCTCCTGGCCCAAGGCAGCCGTGGCTGTCCCTCTGTCCTGCAGGGGAGCAGGGCGCCCACAGGGGGCCAGTCCCACACAGACCTCATTCCTCATGGCATCTCTCTTGGTCAAGTCTGACTCAGGTCTCTAACTTGAGGGGCTGTGGGGGCTCAAGATGCCTTTTGAAAGACAAAAATAAAATAGTCATAAGTACATGTTTAAAAGACCAGTGGAATTTTACTTTCTGGCCTCAGCTTGGCCCCCAAGTCCCTGCTCAGGCCTCGGCCAGCTTCCTCATTGCTCCCCAAGCACACCTATCCTGCTCCCACCTCAGGACCTTTGCACTTGCCATCCTCTTGGACTGTCACACACTTCCGCCCTGGAACCACCTGCTTTGGTTTCTGTTAATCACCACTTTCCTGACCACCCTGGCTATGGCATTCTACCCTTACCCAGCCTTTTAATTACTTTTTAAAAGACTTTATTTATTTGAGTGAGGGAACACAAGCTGGGGTGGGAGGCGGTGCAGAGGGAGAAGCAGACTCTTTGCTGACCAGGAAGCCTGACGTGGGGCTGGATTCCAAGACCCCGGGACCATGACCTGAGCTGAAGACAGACCCTTAACCAATGAGCGCCCCAAGTGCCCCCAAGCCAGCCTTTCGAGAACACTTATCAAGCCACCTGGTATGGTGTTCCATTTAATTTGGTGACTGTGTCTCTCACTAGAACACCAGTTCCATGACGGCGGGGGCCCCAGACATCTTGTTCAGTGCTCTGCGGCCCCTGGGCCCTGAGAGTACACAGTGCACAGCCGGCCCTCAGTAACCGCTGCTGGGACGAATGATGGGCTCCCACCTGGTCCTCTGATTCGGGAATCACCAGGAACAGGACTCTCTTTGCTCCAGAAAGTGGGCAAGAAAATCCCACTGTCAAGGCAGGGTGGGGCGGTGCCTTGCACCCAACCTGGGCCCCCGGGGCCTCTGCTGCTTGGGTGGAGGGGGGAGGTCCTCTCACAGCCAGCCAGACACCCAGTGCCAACGGGGCACCGTACAGACGGGGACTGAGCCTCTAACACAACGCATGGGCTGGGGAACGGGACCTCTGTGATGAAATGAGTAACATTCGTGTCTAGCACACAGAGCGGGTGACCAGCTGGGGAGGACCGCACCAGCTCAGGACTGGGGACGGCACTCTCTGCTCATGCCCCTGGCTGCCGCAGCAGCGCTGGGAACCAGGTGTCAGAACAGCCCGTGCAGACCAGGCGCACACCCGGACCCCTACGGTCCGGCGCACGGCACCGAGGGGACGCCAGAGAAAACCGGGCTCCGCGTGCCACCGGCCTCTCTCTGCTGGGACGTTTGAAACCATCGGCTCCAAGATGCGGGAGGGGTTTCCGTCCGTGTCCTCAGAGCCATGCAAGATAGGCAGGGAACCAGCCCATGTCTGCGCCTGGAAAGCGTTCTCTGTGTCGGCAGCGAGAGGGTGCTGTTTAGGGAAGGGTGCTGTGAAACAGCGGGAGTTCACCGGCAGTGGGGTGCCCTGTGGGTTAGGGGGCGGGAGCCCAGCGGCAGGTGCCTGGGGCTGCGAAGAGGTTGCCCAGGGTAACCACTTCCTCTCTTTTTATCAAAAGCAGCATCTCAAAACTTCATAGGTCCCCAGGCATTTTGTTTTTTGACTTAAAAAAAAAAAGAAGAAGAAAGCCACACAAGGTCGTTAATAAGCTAAAGAGTGAAAACTAGGGTAACAGAAGGTTTACGTGTAAAGATTCCAGATCCAGGGGTGCCCGGATGGCTCAGTGGGTTAAGCCTCTGCCTTTGGCTCAGGTCATGATCTCAGGGTCCTGGGATCGAGCCCTGCATTGGGCAGGGAGCCTGCTTCCCCCTCTCCCTCTGCCTGCCTCTGCCTACTTGTGATCTCTGTCAAATAAATAAATAAAATCTTTAAAAAAAAAAAAAAAAGAAGGATTCCAGATCCAGATTCCCTGGGTTCCATCCCAGCAAGGCGACTTACCAACAACTGGGTGACCTTGGGTAAGTTGCTAACCCCTGCCTCAGTTTGGCCCTCTGGAAAATGGGGGTAATGAGGGTGCTTACTTCATTGGGCTATTCGTGGAAAGCAAACGAGCCAATGTATGGCTCGTCAAAGGGTTAGGAGAGTTTCTGGCCTGGGGGAACGACTATCTAAAAGCTGAGGCACTACCTGTGCAGAAATAGCCCCAGGTTTTGCCTTCAAGCCGAATTAAAAGATCAGGGACAGCGCTCTTCCACACCTGGCGGCTAGTTTAGCAAGGAAGGGGAAAAATGAAATAAAATCAACCAGAACAACCAAGACAAGGAAGCCAGGCGCACTGTCCTCATGACGGCCCCTGGCTGTCCTGGCTGCCAGAGAAAGCTTCTAGAAAACCCTCTTTAAGGAGGACTCTAGGTCATCCAAAAAAATAAAGGGGAAGCCTGCTCCCTGTCCCTTTCTAAGTCCTGTCCTGTTGGACACCAGATTGACTCCCAGTGCGCACGAGCCCAAACACCCTCCAAGCCGCCCAGCCGAGTACGAGGCCCTCGTGCAGGAAAGATGGCAGGTTCATACCGCAGGATCGATTTTCCTGCAATCAGCCTCTGTCACCCCCGCGAGTCCTCAACGCCCCCTCACCCCACCCCCTTCCCCAGCCCAATGCTCAAATTCGCCACGTGATTTCGGTCTGGGATAATAGTTCCCAAACTGAGCTGCCCACCAGCATCATCTGGGGAGGTTTTATAAAATCCTGGCGCTCGGGGCACGGTCTCTACCAAGGAAACATGCAGGGATCCCGGGAGGTAGGCCTGGGTATTGTTCAAAGACATCTCTGAGAGATGCCAAGGCCCGGTCAAGTTTGGGACTCACCAGACTAGGGAGCAAGGGAGGCACAAGGGAAATTCATGTCGTGAGGCTTGAGGCAAGGCCAGCGTTCCTTCCTGCTGTCGGGAGGATTTTCAGCTGGGCCAGGGGGAGGCATTTTGTGCCCTGCGAGGTGCCGGGCGAGCATCACGGGGGGCCCCAGGAAAGCGGAGCCGGGCTGGAGCTGAGCCAGCACATACACTTGGCAAGCAAGATGTAAGGCGTGCAGAGAGCAGGCAGGGCCGGGCGGGGGGGGAAATGCCACTGGGATCCTAAGTGACTTCCCGATTTCATCTTGTCATTTCTCAAGTGGCGAAGGTGCTGGGTCCCGCCCACTTTGCACCCCGCTCCGGGCCATGGGCCACCCTGGCTCGGCGGCCAGGCTGGGTGCCCACCCAAATCCACCTGGAGGCCCCACACTAAGTCCAGGGGGGAGAGAGCACTCGAGTCTCCTGCCCTGGGGTTCCGGCCTCCCCCAGGCCCGCCTCAGCTCCACGTCAACACCCCTCAACAACCAGAGAAGGAAGGGTTAGTGTCTGGGTTTGGTTTAAAAAAAAAAAAAGGGGGGCTTTCACGCTGGCAGCGCTGGGAACAGTAAACAGGGACCTGGGTCAGGAGCAGAAGGGACCTGGCTAAGGCTGTCTGCAGCATCTATGGCCTGGGGTTCAAGCCCACCGAGCCGGCAGCCAACTTCCCTGGGGATTCTGGACGTGGGCCCTCACCCCCAAGCCCTCCAGAGCTGACAGCAAGACATCACCCCACAGAGAGGCCCACCATTGGGGAGACGCCTCCAGGTCCCGGGGTCAGGCCGGACCACCTCCACCTCCGTGTCCCCGACCCACCCGCGGAGCACCGCTGTCGCCGGGACCCCTGCTGGGCTGGAACCAGGGGTGCGGGGTGGGGGGACCCCGTCCTTGCTTCCGAGGCTCCACGTCTGAGGGCGCGGCGAGAGCGGCCCCTCGCCCCTAGCCTGCCCGGATCGGGTTGTGCGTGAAGGCGCGCGCTTACCGCTCTGGCCTCGCCGGGTCCCGGGGGCTCCGAGGAGGCGCCGGCGCCCCCCGCGCGGGCGTCGAGGATGCCGGGCGCCAGCGAGTAGAAGGGCGGGCTGGGGCTGGGGCTGGGGGGCAGCCCGGAGTCGGGGCTGTCCAGCAAGCCCTCCCGGCTCTTCTCCTTGAGGCTCTCCTCCATGCCCTGCAGATGCAGGTGGCCCACCATGTCTGGGGGGCGCGGGGCGCGGGCCCCCGGCTCCTCGG